TGCAAAGTAAGTTGTGAGAGAGTCAAAACATCGGAAACTGCTGAACTTAATGCAAATGAAAGGCGAGATATGCTGGGCAGCAGCATACTGCTGTGAGGTGTATAGGGAGGTCTGTCATAAACGTCTACAAATCTGTCTGGAGTGCTGGAGGTTCTGCCAGATTTAGTGCTTAAAGGAATGGTTCACCCAAAAATGAAAATTTGCTGAAAATGTACTCACCCTCAGGCTATGCAAGATGTAGATGGGTTTGTTTCTTTATCTGCACAGATTTGGAGAAACTTAGCATTACATCACTTGCTCACCATTGGATCCTTTGCAGTGAATGGGTGCCGTCAGAATGAGAGTCCAAACAGCTGATAAAAAAAACATTACAATAATCCACAAGTAACCCACACCACTCCAATCCATCATTTAAGTGTAAAGTGAAAAGCTGCATGTTTGTATGAAACAAATACAATATTAAGTCATTTTTAACTTGAAACTGTTGTTTGTGGCTACAAGTTCTCTATCCATTATTTTCACTAGTTGTCTTATCTGAATCAGGAGAGAAATATGCACAGATCAAGGACTGTTTACAAGTAAAAACAGTCCTAAACAAATATGTCGTGGATTTTAATGTGAGAGGGCATCAGGAAGCATTATTATGCACTATGGAAACAATGGTTTAAAAATAAAATGCCTTGATGGATTTGTTTCTTACAAATGCACAGCTTTCACTTCACAAGACATTGATAGACTGGACTCATGTGAATTACTTGTGGATTATTGTGATGTTTTTATCAGCTGTTGGACTCTCATTCTGACGGCACCCATTCACTGCAGAGGATCCATTGCTGAGATACAAGTGATGTATTAATTTACTAAATTTCTCCAAATCTGTTCCAATGAAAAAACAAACTCAAATCTAAATTTTCAGCAAATTTTCTTTTCTTTTTTTCTTTTTGGTGAATCGTTCCATTAAAATTACACCATTATGAAAAAGTAACCCTAAGCCCACCTATAAATTTTACATGTTTCTGATAGATATCTGAAAAGTTCTCCAATAAGATAAATATTAGCTATTAGGCGCTAAATCTTCTAAACACTCAAGTTCATAAACTGACAAAATTAGGAAGTTCACTGTATACTTAGTTTAGTGGGCATATTAGAGACTGCATTGTTCCTTAAAAATTCACTTGAGAAATACATTTTCTGGATTATAATTACAAACAGAAGATTAGCTAGTTTTGTCTTAATTGTTTTCATTTAATGTGGTTAGCCACCAAAGTGTCATGCACTAGCTGCAAAAATGTACAATATCCATCCTTTCAAATACAGGACATTTAAAATAACAAGAACAAGTCATATTAATTTTGCCTTTGATTGATTACTCTTTTAATTTTTAATTATTTTATTTTTAAAATTCTATTAAAAATAAAAACTCCACCAGCCTCATCACTGGATTCTTTAAAAAAAATAGTTCTAGGGGAGTGTCTCAAACAGCCAAATTTTTGATTGCAAATAACTTTAGAACGAAATATTTGAATAGGCTCCCAAACGTTTTTAGTATTTTTTTATATTTCAAAATAAAACAAAAATCAGGCTTCTTTACACTTTCAATGTTGCTATGAAGTCTGCACTGCTGAAGTGAACTGTCCAAAAAGGACAGCAGTAATTTGTGAGCAAATTTCTGAATCATGAAATGGCAAACGGGACATCCTACGATCTTGCAAACACGCAGAAGCGAATGCTGCAAGGATGCAAGAAGTGCGCCTTACTGCGAGCTTCTTGGAGGGTTCATTTCATGATCTTCATTAGAGCAGACGTGGTCTGCCACAGCAAGAACTACATGCGGTTCACTGATTATCCAGGCGTAATTAAAACTCAGCATTGATTATGCAGACTGATTGAGGTAATTAATATCCTCTCTGCAAAGTGATGAACTACTCTAAGAAAGCATACTCACAACAATGCAACAAGCTACATTCTTGATCTCCAAATTACAGAAAGGGGAATGTGTATTAGAACACTTTCCTCATAATAACTTTCAGCCACTTTCAAATCACATTAAGTAAATGAACACTGTGGATCGTTCGACTTTAATGCAACTCCATACAGCTGGAGGAATTAAACTGCTCTTGTAATGATGGATATCGGTTGTTTTAGGCCTTTTTTGGTTGGCATGGGTAATCTGAATTAACATACATTAACCTTTCCCAAAGCACATCAGGGAACTCCATATCCAGAAGGGTCCAGCAGGCATAAACTCCATCGTCAATGAATGCATGGCCACCTGTTCTCCTCCAAACACATAACAGACTCTGGATTTGTATTCAACAGCCTCAGACTGCACAAAGCTTGACGATGCATTAATCATTCAGAGGATCTGCGGGTGAACTCGACGGCTGTGAGCCATTCACATGAACAATGACTGACCTTAAAACCCATGGACAGGAAGTCAAGGACAGTTCAGAGAGGCTCCATGAGGCACATGTAAACTTGAACCAACAGGTTGGATCACTATGTGGGCAGCACAGACTGGAAAAAGGGATCTGAGATTTGGAGTCCTGGGGCTGTATTACAGAAACTAACTCAGTATCCTATTCTATCTTTTTAATAACCATGGTAATTTCATTTATTCACATCTTAAGTCCAGAATCAAGATAGGAAGTTTCTGTATAACAGCCTCTAGGGTGTAGAGTGTGTTTCCCCCTCCTCATTTGGCAGGACAGTAAGCTTGGCTCACTCAAAGCTTACTGTGATACTGCTCTTTTACTAGACTACACATGTTCATGGCAAAAAGTGCAATAGCATGTCAGCAGGAACTCGCTATGTATTAAGAAGTGTTCATAGATTATTAGCAGCCACAATAAAGAAAGGTGGAATTGTGTATTTTTATCAGAAATAATGTATATACTGCTCATCCCCTTTGGATGATTTCTTAACTTCACTTGAAAAAAAAGTCTTGCAAACTTATTGCCTCAGAAAAAAAGAAAAGAAAAGAAAAAACTAGTTAAGGCTACTTAGTATATTCAAGTTTTCATAAATTGGCTGAGTAAACCTGAATGCTTGAATATATTTTTTTCTGAGGCATTACGTTTTTC